AACAAGTCCCGGAATTTGGGCCACGATAGAAAGTCTCCATGGAAATCATCAATCTCACACGGTGGCAAGTTGAGATTATGCATTTTTTTTTTTTGAGACATTAGGCGGCAAACTCCAATTAGGAATAGAAACTTCTGCCGGATTTGGGAAATCAGTTTGAACCCTATTTGCTAAATTTGAAATATTGAAATTATCACGAGAACTATTAATATCATTTGTGAAACCTGGCTGATCAACAGGTGGCCGATTAGAAGTACTACCAATTTGTTGTAGATTTGGAGCTAAAGTTGCATTAACGACATGAGTTTCAGGAGGAGATTTCACCGACTTAAAATTGTGAATCTTTTCATTGATCTCCGACAAACAATCATTGAAACTTAGGTTAGACGATTGATACTTTGAATCGACAGAAGAGATCTGCTCTGATGTTGCACCCTCTATTGTCAACAAATAGTCAATACACTTGTCGTAAGTGTCCTTGACTTTAGACCATAACTCTTGAAGTTCCGAACTTTGAATTTCAAGGCTGAAAATTGTATGAGTCTCTGGCTTAAGTATATGATATGAGGCAATACATTTGACCACATTATCTGAAGCGCGAATAAATTGTGCCAATGGAGTGACCGACATGATTCTATAGAAAAACAAACGATAGCGAAGCAAAAAATTCCAAAAAATATATATTTTTACTATTTGAGGTCGACTATAACCGAATGTAGGGTACACACTGTCGAATTTGCAAAAGGGTCGATGAAAAAAGAGTAAATATAGTCGATAGGAACAACTAAAAACAAAAAATTTTGTGAAATTTCCAAAAAATGGAACAAAAATTGACGAAAATAATTTGAAAATCGCAATTACCGACAGTAGGGTGTACGAAATTTCAAATGATGCTATAATTTTACAGACAAATAATTTTTGTTGTAAAAGTAATATCTACTTTTTCGCAAAAAAATACAACAATTTCAATAAAAATTGCCCAAAAAGAGTTTTTAATTAACAACAAATAAATGCTTTGAATGCGCTTGTGAAATGCCGAAAGTTGGGTACTTTTCGTTAAAAATTCCAAAATTCTACTATAGACCATCGAAGATGACAATCATTTTTTATCAAATATTTTTAAAATATTATTTATAAAATTTCACAATTTTTTAACACGTACCCACTGTGCAGTGGTGAATAACGAATACCGCACAAAAGGGAATAAAACACAAGCAGTGTAGAGTGAGCTGCTAACGCACTACAAACAGACCAACGACAACGAACCAACAGAGATGTGTGGGGAGAGCAAGATCTTGTTGGTATGTTAGTCGGCTCACACTAAACAAGGCGGTTGGAATGCGAGAATGATTTTGTTGTTGATATCACACGATCAACAAAACAACGAGAACGATCCAACAATGAGAGTTGGTGTGATGGATATGCTGTTGGTAGGATTAGATTATAACAAACAAACGCTATAAAAAGCCGCGTGGAATATTAGAATATTTTTGTTGTGTTTAACGAACAAACAAGGAGAGTTGATGCGATATTAGAATTTTTGGTTTGAGAATAACAAGGAAAAGTAGAAAAAGGGCAAGATGAGTATTCCGATTGCTGTTAGTGCTTTTTCTCACTAGTGGCTGTCGAAGTCAACGAGAAAGCGGAGTGTATAGGTAGCCTTTAGTGAGAAATAACAAATAAGCACTACACAACCGATCAATGGTAAACAAATTATGGCAAGAATATGAGACAATGTGTGGACTGTATATTTAGGAAAGCATGCGTTAAGGCAATTGTAGGGCGACCAGTACGTGATGTAGCGAAAAATGTAGCAACAGATGGAAAATTTATTGTTGTAAAGCGAAATATAAAAAACGAAAACAATCGCGGTATGCTCAATATTAAGAAACTGAACTACGTACCTTTGAGTTTATGATGTATTGTTGTTTGTGGATGATGGTGCAGTTTTTGATGCTTATGGATTTGGTGAATATGATGATGATGAGATGTTGTTTATGGTGAGGGTTGATGATGTTTCTCTCCTTTGAAATAGCGAAAAATGGGAAATTGTTGGTAGATTATCCGACTTGATGGGATCAAACTGCAACAACAATGCTAGGAAATATCCGGCTGGAACGGATCAAAATGTTGGCGTGATACCGATGAAGGGGAGAAAAACCAATAAAGAAATAAAACAATTTGGTATTAGAATATATTTTCCAATTTAGTGAGTTTCGAATGAAACAAAACTTTACCTTAATGCGTGCTAGTTCGAGAATGCAAGTTCTAGGAGAGAGCGTAGGAAGGAGAGAATACTCTCTCCTACAATCCGAACCAGGCGAACCTAGAAGAAGTGCAGAGAAGATTCCCCCATTGACTCAAGTGAGTGACCAATTAATGTGAATAATAATTGGTATGCTACGGAAGGGGTGAACAACATATCGAACATATACATATACATGTAAACAATGTATCGCGGCGACGGGTGTAAGTTTGGGAGTTATTTCGTGACTGCCGACGCTGGGGTTGATGTGACGATTGTGTTCGTTGTTGATGTGGTGGTCGATGTTGTCCTTACTTCCACTACTCTGACCTGCGTATCTGGTCCACTATGTGTATTCGTGATTCTACCAAGCCTCCATTCGCTAGGAGGCAACAAATCATCCATAACCACAACTAAATCACCGACTTTAAGATTAGGAGTTGAACGTCTCCATTTGTAACGTTTTTGCAGTGACTTTAAATAGTCTTCTTTCCACCTGACGGAAAATTTGTGATGAATTGCCTTCAATCTAAGCCACCTATTTATGAGAGACAAGTTTCGATTACTAGGGAATAAGCTTCCATTCGAAGCCATAAGCAGCGTACTTGTCTGAAACGTCTTGAGCGGAGGATTTTTGAAATTCACAAAACTGTCTTGCTAGCCATCGGCTATCATTATCAAATACTATCCGAGAGGGTAGTCTTCGCCTCCCAACGAACCGAGCCAGTGCAGCCTCAAAGGCGATCATTGACAATTCGGAACAGGGCTCTAAATGAATAGCTTTTGCGAAAAGCAGACGAATAAGCATACATAGCCTTAAAGAATGGGCGATTGACGCAAAATATAACTTTTTAATTCGAACGGGCCTGCAAAATCTATACCAGTGATGTGCAAACGTACACCGTTCAGGTGGTAATGGAGCCATAATTTGCGAACAACACTTTTGCTTGTAGATTAGCGCAACCATTGCTTGAATTTTTGCTCTTTTACCTAAATTAGGGGGGCCAAACAAATCCCTTTTCAGCCATTCTGTTGAGGGATGTACAAGGAAATGTGGACCAAGGAACCACACTGAATCTGGTTGAAGATCCTGAGGTTTACAACCTCTAGTCCCTAAATCGGCAGGATTATCGTGGGTAGGAACATGACGACAACAGGCGCTTGGAATTAACTCCCGAATCTGAGCAGTTCTATTTGCTACAATATTTCTGATTATTTATTGTTTCTTCCACCGTGAAACCTCCAGTTAGAATATCGTCAACGTATGTTTCTCTCTGAATTATTTGATGGATGTTAGGATTTTCATTTTTCGAGTCTTCTGATAATTACAAGCGCGCGTCTGGCGAGGAACGGTGCGCAATTTACACCGAATGTGACAGTTTTTAAGCTGTAATCTTTGACAATATCTTCGGGACTGGTTCGAAAGAGAATTATCGGAAATAATCTACCGTGAGGATGTATAAGAATTTGTCGATACATTTTTTGGATGTCTCCGCTGAAGACATAAGGATATTTTCTCCAATTAAGTATTACTGACGTTAAGTCTGTTTGGAGAGTGGGTCCTGTATGGAGGACATCGTTAAGAGTAAAACCTGATTTTGATTTTCGAGATTTAGAATTCTTAACAAAATTCATCTGAGACTGAGACAGGTGGAGTACTAGGAACCTCTTCCTGTTCCCAAAATTTTCTTAGCAAATTGCTTATTAAAACTTTTTCAGATTCGACTATTCGAGATGTGAACGAATGAACTTGTACAACTTGCATTGGGCCACTTAGCACCCAACTGAAAATTGTATTATAAGCAGATGCATTGCCACATATATTCGTTTTAATACCATCTAGGTTTATAAATCATTCAGAATCATTGCACAAAATAAGATCGAGTTGAGACGACTTGTTTAATGATAGATCAACTAAATCGATACCTGCTAGATACTGAGGGTTAGCAACTTCAAAAGTGGCAGAGGAAAGAGATTTGACTACTTTAGGTAATACGATAGCTATTATTGAAAATCGCATATTATGTTTTGGGGCGACAATAATTAATTCACACTCCTTTTTGGCAAGTCTGTTTCTGGCCTCCAACCCCAGTAATTTCGAAATAACCTTGAGAGGTGGGAATTTGCAATAAATTCCGAATCCTTTCTGATAGGAAAGTTCTTTGTGATCCTGGATCAATCAATGTTCTTAATGTGAATAATTCGCCCTTGAGTTCGATTTGAACTGTGCAAAAATTGGCGTGAACTTGAGCCGAGCGTTTTAAATTAGATGTAGATGGACTTTCAGGAGTAGTAGTGTGAATTGGCTTGAAAAACTTTTCTGAAGAAGATTAATTTATGTGGTGAAGTGTGTGATGATTTTTGTGGTAAACCAAACACGTCGCTGTAGCTAAAATAAGAACTAGTCACGTATTAAAACAGTTAATCTACTAGTTCACTGTAGCTAAAATGAAACTAGTTAAGTATTGAAACAGTCATACTACTAGTTGCCATGAGACAGTTGAGTTATTCGTGTTAGTCGAAGCGAAAAGGGACTGACTGTACTGCTTTACTGCACATGTTGCTCTCTTTTGTCTTACAAAGTGCTGCAGTGAGCGCCGCTCTCCCACTCATTGTCATTTTCCCGTTAGTTTGTGCTTCGATTACAGGGTTGACAAATTATGTTTTTCAGCAAATCTTAATGTTTGGTAATGCTTGCAATATAAAATTTCATGGGAATATGGTATATTTATGTATTTTGGCAACCCTTTTTTTTAAATGAATCAAAGATAAACTGTTTGGAGATCATTCAGTCTGTGGTTTCGTGTAAAGTGGACGTGCTGAGCTTTCCCTGTGAAAAAAAATATTCAACACGGTAAGTAAAATGAGTAAAAGAAATATGTCCCGGTTAATAAAAAAAAAACGTCAAGAATACATTAATAGATTAAGAAATAGTTCTAATCTAGAAACACAAAACCGAAATATAAATGATAAGCCTGCTGTTTTAACCACAGATTTGTCAGATAAGCAATGTGATGTTAACACCAGAAACCACAATGTTCAGCAAGAGTTATTTACTGATAAGTTAGGGAAGTGGTACATAAGAAACAAAATTTCCAGGAAAGCATTTGAAGAACTTTTGTGCATTTTAAGAGAAGAGAATTTAAATGTACCAAAGAAAGCAGATATATTATTGCCGAAAATTGTTGAGGAACCCATTATAAGGAAAGTGCGTCCCGGCCTGTATTGTCATTTAGGCATAAGAAGTCAATTACAGAAAGTTGGTAAATTTTTATTGGGATTAGACAAAATAATAATTGATATAAATATTGATGGCTTGCCCTTATTTAAAAGCTGTCGAGCTCAACTGTGGCCTGTTTTAATAAGAATTGTTAATTCTCAAATTGTGCACGTCCTTCCAGTTGGGACTTATGTTGGTCTTAAAAAACCGGAATGTATTTTGACGTATTTATAAGATTTTGTGAAAGAAATGAAAGACATAGCAGAAAATGGGATACAATTTGCAGAACATATTTTTAGTTTAGAAATACGAGCCAATGTTTGTGATGCACCAGCGAAAGCTTACATATGCGGTATACCAAGCCATGAGTCGTTCCATGGCTGCAGCAAATGCACCCAAGTAGGCAAAAAAATTGGAAATGTTTTAACCTACAGTACTAAATCAGGAGCTTTAATAAAAAATGATGATTTTGAAAATAGAAAGTATTTGGAACGTCATCTCGTTAATTTTAGAAATACTAAAACACCATTAGAAATAATCCGCGTTAAAATGATAAGCCAAGTGTCAATAGATACTATACATTTACTAGATTTGGGAATTATGCGGAAATTTATATTACGAATATTTGGAGGGAAAAACTATCGTTAAAGTTAGCAAAAGGGATAAGATCTGGATGTCGAAAAAGTTAGAGTCTTTGAAAACATTTGTTCCACAAGAATTTGTAAGGAAACCAAGAAGTTTCGATGACATAGCACACTGGAAGGCAACGGAGTTCCGCCAGTTTATTTTGTACACTGGGATTTTTGTTTTCAAAGACCTAATTCCTGACGACACATACTACGTTTTTCTACTCTTACATTGCGCATGTAGATTGTTGTTATGTCCTAAGAGCTACCATAACAATCTGGAGCCGGCAAAACAATTGTTAGATTTGTTTGTACATAATTTTCCAATTGTTTTCGGAGATAGTAGCGTGTCCTACAACATCCATACTTTGCTACATTTGGTGGATAGCGTTAGAGACATAGGTTTAATGTCTGATTCGTCTGCATATGATTTCGAAAATTATTTACAAACAATGGGAAAGTATGTCAAAAAGCCCACGAATATACTACAGCAGATTTTTAAAAGAGTTCAATACGAAAGTTATTTTATCGATATCCCAAGTCAAGTTTTCAGAACTATGAAGAATAAAGGGGTTTGTTACTACTTCAATAAATGTCTTTATACTTCAAAGAAACCAGACAATTTCTGTTGCATTAAACCATATATTCCAATTGAAATTCAAAGTTTTGAAGAAGAAGGCGAAGAAAAGTTTGTCATAGGTAAACGATTAACAAATATAATAAGTTATTTTAAGGAGCCAATGGATTCCATGAATATTGGTATTTGCTGCGCCGATGTATCTTCTTTAGGTGATGTGGAGAAATTCTCAATTTTAGAAATAAATTTAAAATTTATGTGTATTCCTCACAATGAAATGTTATCTTACTACCAATTTTGCATAGTTGTCTTTAGAAGCATAAATTATATTTTTTCGTTTGTTTTATTCGGCCCTCACTTTTCGTCTGTATTTTTAATTATATTAATAATCTTTATGTATTTTATGAAACAAATTTTTTTTAAAGATGGATTCACAAATTATAAAGATGCCCCTAAGTGAAAGCAAATCATGTAGGTATACATAATAAAGCAGTTATGAAATATATTATAAGCTCGTATGTATTTTCTTTCATTTCAGGTACTGAAAACAACTCATGGAAAAATTGCAAAAAACTTTCCAGAAAAATTGATAATTTACAAGGTAAGCATAAAATATTAAAAGTATATACTACTCAGTGCCGGAACAGATTTTATTGGATCGTAATATTTGAAATATTTCTTTTCATATTATTTAATAAGCTCAATGCTTTCTTTCACTACTTTTATCGCTGTTTGAACTATTTTTTTAATTAAATGATATTTTCAATTCAATTTTAAATTTTACTGTACTAATTTGGTTTAAAATTGCCAAATTTCAGAAACCATCAACGACTTAGTTACAACTGTCCAACAAAACAGTGAGGCTATTATGTCCGCATTTGCCAAAATAAAGGTAGTCACAACAAAATTAGTTTGACAAGAAACGTCAATCAGTACCGCTACAAATGACTTCCCAATATCTTCTGAAAACATGTTGCAAACCATGGAGGAAAAAATCTCTTGTGACATCCGAGATATTTACGTAAGTACAAAAATGTGTTTATTATTTGTATAGTAATATATCGAAAATGAATGAGGAATAATGTAAATATTTTCTTAATTTTTATCACATAGTAATTTAATCCTTCACATTTAGTGTTTTTCACTTTACCCTTTTTTTTGCTTTGCCTTTTATTTAGAACTTTATATCTCTTTGTTTCGTAGTGTTCAGATTTTATTTCAATTTATTTTAACTTTTAGTTTTAAGTATGTTTTAACCTTAGAATATTTTTTACAAGTGTGCAATGGTAGTTTACTTTTTGATTTTAGGTTTATTTCAGGGTTAGGTTAAGTTCACCATAGGCTAGGTAGATAGGTAATTTTATTTGTAGGTATTTTTAAGGCAATCTTAGGTTTTAGGTTCACTGTAGTGCAATATTATAATAGTGCAATATTAGGTTAAGATTAGGATAAGTTTTAGGATAAGTTTTATACAATTAGGATAAGTTGTAGGATAGGTTTTATACAATTAGGATAAGTTTTATGCACTTAGGATAAGGCTTAGGATAAGTTTTACACAGTTAGGTTAATTTTTATGCACTTAGGATAAGTTTTAGGTTTTACACAATTAGGATAATTTTCATGTACTTAGGATGATTTTTATGCAATTTTTTTAGATTATGTTTTAATTCAGAGGTATAATAGATGTAAGATTTTTTTTATGTAGTAGGTTTTATAATTTTGTACAATTTTTCTTCACTTCTTTAATTTTTGTTTTATGTATTTTTATGAGTAGGTTTTAACTTAATTTGTATGTTTTAAATTATTCACTTTTAGTATGTTTATTTTTTTCTTTCTTTGTGTATGTTGTATTGTGAAGTTATTGGGTTTTTTTCTTTAATTTTTGCACTATCACTGGGAGGGGGAGTCAACCGGCGCGTTCTTACTGTTCTGAAAAACTGACCTACGACGCCAAAATCAATCCAACAGCAAGCCATGTATTCAGTTCTGCTGTTGGAAATGTTTATATTGCTGAATGGAATTAACCGTTAGCGCATATATGTATTAGTGCATATATGGCCAATGTTAACTCCACCGCCTGTCGTCGCCACTTTGGACGGCGTCAAAGAAATATGATTAAGCTGCCTAAACACGCAGCAAAATTAGAATGTTTTATGAACATGCTTGCTCGGAAAAGTTTCTCGTGGGGTCTTCTAAAATGGGATCGGAATATATCCGCCGGGGCAAGTCTTCTATAATAATTGCGTTTATCTTCAGTGCCCAAGTACTGTTACCCCTTCGCGGATGTATTTTGAAGGTAGTAAACCTTTGCCCCTGATACGTAAAGGATCTCAGACCTAGCCGGCGAAAGGTCGCATACGCAATTTTCAACATCGTAGCTGATTGGCTTACAATGGCCCGCACGGTGGCAAACCATTCCATGTCGTCTGCGGTAATTTTCACCATCCCCGTTGGCGCGAAGACCAAGTCCCATGAAAAAGCGGGAGTTGTAATAGCCCCACCGAGCCACGAGTCATCCAACTGAGAGGCTCCGTGTAGAAGAGTGTGGTGCCGATAATCGCACCGACGGCAACCGTTTAAACTGGGACAGTAGGGTGCAAGATGGCTCCTGGCCAAACAGTTCCTGCTGTATCCCCTGCGCAAGAAATGCATAGGATGACAAGTCGCTTGCCGGCTCCAGATGTATGGCCTTTGTAGCGAAGCACACAAAAAGGCATACGTATCCTTTTGTTAAAAAGCAAGTGCGACCAGTAAAATTCTTAATGTTGAACGGTCCAGCAAAATCTACTCCAGTATTTGTGAAGGGTCTGGATAAAAGGGTTCGTTCTGGCGGAAGGGAGGCCATTATTTGTTCCTGAGTTCGCTTTTTATGGATTATGCATATCTTGCAATGTCGTATAGTCTTTTTGACCAACGACGGGAGACCGAATATCCAGAATTCGGCCCTTAGCACTCGAGTCATTAACTGATTACCTCCGTGTAGGGTAACTTTGTAAGTGAAGTCTACAAGTAGTTGGCTAAGTGTTGATCCGTGAGGTAATAATATAGGGTGTCGTTCACCGTACGTGAGCGCAGTTGATTGTACCAATCTGCCATTTGAACGCATAACCCCTTTTGAGTCCAAAAATGGGTTAAGTGTCAAGAGTGGGCTGGATGGAGAAATTCGGGTCTTATTTTCCAGTGATTTATATTCTTCAGGATAAAATAACTTCTGCGTTCGAATTATGCTAGCCCGTTTTCCATCCTGAACTTCTAGTGCCGAAAGATCTGTCACCGATGTTCGCAAATGTTGCCGGTTTTCCCCAGAGTTTTTCCAAAATCTTAAAGCGTATGCATGGGTCCGATATACTCTGGATAAAGATGAGAAATCTTTGAGTGGATCATCGTTTTCTTGAAATAGGGTCAAGGATTTTACTGTTTTGTCTTCTAAACTTGTGTCCTCATGAACTTCATACGATGGCCATCTAGCCTTGGGTAATTTAAGCCACTGGGGTCCATGCCACCAGAGTTCCTGAGTCTTTAAATCCTGAGGTGAACATCCTCGACTCGCAATGTCGGCTGGGTTGCTTTCGGAATCAACATGTCTCCAATTTTCTTGGCCAACATTCTCGGAAATCTCCGAAATTCTATTTCCCACGAAGGCATTCCAATGGCAAGGAGGCTTTTTCAGACATGCAAGGACGATTGTTGAATCCGTCCAAAATTGTGTCGAGTATGATGTTATTTGCAGGTTCTTTATAATGGATGCGGCTAATTTGGAGAGTAGAACCGCTCCGCATAATTCTAGACGCGGAATTGACAGTTTCTTGATTGGTGCAACTCGGGTCTTGGCGGCCAATAGAAATGTACGAGTGCTGGACTCTTTGTTTTCTATTCGAATATATAATGTAGCTCCGTATGCGTTTTCCGAAGCATCGCAAAATCCATGTATTTCTACGGAAACATCTGCAGTGAATCTTATCCATATTGGAACCTTCAGAAGTTCGATTTCTTTGCTGTTTTTCACAAAGTTATTCCAGTTCATTTGGGTCATTGGCTTCAACGGGTCATCCCAGTCTATTTTATCTAGCCAGATTTGTTGCATTATTAACTTAGCTACCACCACGACTGGCGCCAGCCAACCGCAATGGTCAATAATTTGGCTATTGTTGATAGGACTTCGCGTTTTGTTGAGGTATTATGATTTTCCATTGCCGGCGGTGTGAACGAGAAAAAATCGGCAGAAATATTCCATCTAATTCCCAATGTCTTTGTGGATGCATCTTCCGAAATGTCTAACCAATTAAGAGGTAGTAATTGTTCTTGTGGAATATCTTCAATAATCTTGTGATCGTTTGATGCCTACTTCATGAGTTGAAATCCAGCCGAGGCTAGAGCGGCAGTTAATTCCTTACGAGCTTCGATGGATTCTTCTTCCGTGTGACCACCAGCTAATACATCATCCACGTACAGATTATTTAAAATTATATTTGCGGCTTTTGGATACACATCCTTTATGTCCTCTGCCAGTTTTAGAAGGGTCCTCAATGCTAAATATGGTGCACAGTTAACTCCAAATGTAACTGTGAGTAGTTCATTGTCTTCGATGGGGTCGTCAGGTGACTGTCTGAAGAGTATTCTTTGAAATTTTGTGTGGGTCGGATCCAAAAGTATCTGCCGATACATCTTTGTGATGTCTGCGTTAAAAACGTATTTAAAAAATCGCCATTTTAAGATTTGTAATGCCAGATCTTGTTGTAAAATGGGTCCACGAAATAGTGTGTCATTGAGGCTTGTTTTGTTTGCTGAGGGACAAGAAGCGTTGAACACCACTTGCAACTTCGTAGTGAGTCGATCTGGTTTTATTACAGCATGATGTGGCAGATAATAATTTGGCATGTTCTCAATTTCATTTTTGTGAATTTTTCGCATATGTCCAAGCTCTAAGTATTCTAGTATCGAATTATCATATTGTTCCTTTATCTCGGGTGTTTTCATGAACTTTTTTCACCATTCTGTAGAATTGAGCCAAGGCGATGTTTCTGGAATTCCCTAATTCCTCGCATTTTTTGAATGGGAGAGTCACCACATATCTTCCATCCTTATTCCGTATAGTTGTCTCATTAAAATTTCGTTCGCAAAATTGGTCTTCCTCTGACCGTAAAACTTTTTTAGGGGTCTCTTCCACCTCCCAAAAACGTGTAAGTACTTTCTCAATTGATGTGGTGCTAAGCAGTGAAATTTGATTTCTTTGTATGGTCCAACGATCCACCCAAATTTGGTTTGTTGTGTTAAAATGGATCCAAAAATTTTCATTGGTGTTTCAATTGTGAATTTTAATGGTCCTATGTCCATTCCAATAAGTAAGTCAATGGGTTGACTGATGTAGAATTTCTGGTCAGCCAATTCCAATGATGTAATGTCTCTAAGTTGTGATTTATCTAAGTTTTGTGGTGGTAGATTTGAAGGGCTCCAGTTTTACGAACGTTAGTAAAACTGGAGCCCATACCTCCAATTTGAAACTAGGGTCGTATTTGGATCTCATTATGAATAGGCATGACTTCGTTGAAGTTTCCGAGACAAATTGACTAAGTCCTGTTACATGGATCAAGTGGCAGTTGGCAGTTTCAAAAGGTTCTTCTTCGACTTTTGCAATCCCTTACTCCATGGTTGGATGACAAACAGTTGTAACATAGGTGTGGTGTTTTCACCAAGTGAATTCTATCATTCACATTCCTTCTCAAAAACTCATTGCAATCTCTTATGAAGTGATTGGCTTTACATAATGGGCATTGTTGGGGACTAGATGCTCTGCTTGTTTGAGTCTGATTGTAGGGTGTTTCTTTTCCTCCCGATTTGTGACCATCTTTGGAAACATTCGTCTGAAACGAGTTAAAAAATCTCGGTTTATTGTTACCAGCTGGTTTTGACTGGCTGATTTTAGGATTTGTTGGCTTTATATTCCCGACTGATTCCATTGTTTTGAATTTATTTGTCAATAACGGATCAAATTGTTCCCATTTTGGAAG